TGACAAACTTAGCCTTCTGAGTACTAGTCTGATCCAGTCTTGGTCAGCCAGTCTTTGGCTTTTCCCAGCACGATAAAAAGTGTTGGACTTGGAGTTGTGATATCTGGGTTAAAATACTGGCCTTGGTGCTTTTTAACTTGTGACCATGGACAAGTCACTCAACCTTCTGAAGCCTCTGTCTCCTTACTTGTAAAATGGAGAGGAATGAGAGAAGTGAAATCTGCTGTTACTACTACTACTATAATGAATTTTCCTAATAATCATCTAGTTGAATTTAAGTTCTTTGAGGGCAAGGACTGTTTCTAGTGATTGTTTTCAGATCCCCAGTGCCTAGCACAGTGGCATATTGAATTTAATTGATTTAAATAGGATTGAATTGAATGGAATTGAACTGAAGAAATAGAACATGGATACTGAAAAGAATTAAGATCTAAGTTGTTAATGAGTCACATGAAGAGAAACAAAAGCATTCTTCCTTCTTACCTTTTCTTATCCTTCCTACATTAAGCTTATTTTTGTGAGATATAAGGCTTAAATTTAATGTATTACCATGAATAGCAAAAAAAAAAAACAAACCACTTTGTGTTTTGATGTTGATTCATGCTTTTTGATACATTCTTGTTTTTTTGTTTTTGTTGTTGTTGTTGTTGTTGTTGTTGTTGTTGTTGTTGTTTTGACTAGGCAATGGGGTTAAATGGCTTGCCCAGGGTCACACAGCTAGTACTTGTTAATGTGTCTGAGGCTGGATTTGAACTCAGGTCCTCCTGAATCCAGGGCCAGTGCTGTATCCACTGTGCCACCTACCTGCCCCTTGATAAATTCTTCCATCTACTATTTGCAAGTTAGTTCCTCTTTCTGGTCCTTAGTTTCCTAATCAATAAAATGAGGGTCTTGAACTACATGGTCGTAAAGAATATTAGAGCTTGGAGGGCTCTTCTACCTATTTCTATGATTCTTTGGTCTTCACAACAGCTCTGTAAGGTAGATAGGGTTGGTGGTGTTAACTTGATTTTCTTCAGTACTTCAGAGAACTGTCTTTTCGGTCATTTGTATGTACTCCCACCACCAGCATTGTAGCCACTCTGTAATCCCTTGAAAGGTCTTAAAGACTTGGTATGACTGAAAAATTCATTTCCCTCCCTTCAGCTTAGGGCTGACCCTCTGGTGACAGGCATACAGGCCATCACCTGAGCTGACCTTTCTTTTGTGGGCTCTGAGAGGATGAATGTCTCACCGTGGTCGTGATCCCAGTTTGTACTAGAACCCACCTTTGCTGACCCGCAGTGACCTCTGTGTGTCTTGCTACCTGACTGAATTCCCTTTCCAGCTGAGCTGGAAGAGCTCATCAGTGCTTTCTTAGCACTTACTTCCCTCCCGTTATAAAACAACAGCCCTCAAAAGAATAAATAATTTGTTTAATTTGTCTTTGATTTACGACATACTAATCACTTGGATAAATTAAAATGGTGTACTGGGTGCTGGCTTCACCTTCCCATAGGCTCTTAGATGATAGGATAGGGTGGCAGATAAATCCCATGTCTTGTACCTGCAGAAAAACGAATCACCTGCTGGTTCAAAGCACTATTTGACTGGGTATGTATTGAACTGCCTACCAAAAGGGAGGCGATCCTTGAACCTTTCACCTCCCCTTTGAAGCTGTCATTTGCCCACATTCACTTGGGCATGCTGAGATGTTACTGGGTCTAGCATTGGCTTACCTCCTCACTTTTCTTTCCAAGGTATTTTAATTTCCCATTAACCTCCTGCTCAAAACTCTTCAGTGGGTCCTGAGAACCTCCCAAATAAAATCTAAACATCTTGGCCTTATGGTTGAGACCCTCTGTAACCTGGATTTCCTTTCAATTCTGAGCCTGTGAACCTCCCTACTCTGCCTCACACTATTCCCTTCCATGTGTGCTGTGCTTCTTGCAAACTGTACTTAACTTTCTACTCCTTTTACTCATCCTGTATTTTTCCCAATTCCATGCCTGTGTCCGTCCATGTTGTTCTTCTATCTAGGTTTTCCTTTTTCCTATGTCTGCCTTTTGGAATTCTATCCCTTCTCCAATACCCCCCACTCCACCCCTAAACCGTACCTTGCTTTTTTTGGGATGCTACTTCAAAATCAAATCTTTTCTTCTTCCAACTGTGCATAGTACTTTTTAACCTGTCCCATGCTTTCATTATAATTTTTTTTTTTTTTGCATCACAGGTATTACATAATACTGTTTTTGTGTGTATTGTATGCCCCTGATAGATTGTGAACTTCCTCAGAACAGGAACCATATCTTAATTATATCGCTGTCAGTATACAACATTAGTTTTTTGTACATAGTGGATACTTAATAAAATAGTTGTTGAGTGAATCAGTGAACTAGGAAGTTTTCCTACCTATAAAGTGAAGAGGCTATTTATTCCCATAACTACTTGGAAATACAAATTTCTCAAAAAGATAGCCAAATTACATATTAGCACTGGCACAATAGATGTATTTTCTGAGGTAGCAAACTTATTTAAAATAACTTATTTAATAAATTAATCTGTTCCCACCCAACCCATTGAATTGTATTTCTCATGATTACTTAATGTGAGCTCTACTCAAGTAAAACCTACCTCTTTTTTAGGGTCTTCCTATGTTCCTCATTCTCTCCCCCCCACCCCCCATTCCATGTTCATTCTTGCCTCCACATTTAAGCACATACTATTGACACCATTTAGAATGCCTTTTTTCCTTACGATTTACTGCATATCTTGACAGTCCTTCAAGGCTCCTTTCCTTCTTGAAGCCTCCTAGTCCACAGTAGTGCATTCATTCACTAAAAATGAAGTACTTACTATGTGCAACATATTGTGCTAAGTACTACACAAGATACAAAGTTTATTCAGTCAATAAATATTAAGTGCCTACACTTAAGCCAGGCACTGTGCTTATTCACTGGGAATAGAAAAAGAGGCAAGAGACAATGTTTGCCCCCAGGGAGCTTACATTCTAATGGGGAGACAACATGCAAACAGATATACAAAGCAAGCTAAGTACAGGACAAATAGGAAATAATTAACAGAGGAAAGACACCCGGAATTAAGACAGCATTTCTGTCCTTCAAGTCTAGTTAAAGGGATAACACATAAACAGAGATATGATGTGTAATGCTTTATATTATAGTTGAATGTCTATGGTAATTGTAATTGTAAAACATTGTACTAGTTAACAAGTATTTATTAAGAACCTACTCTGTGGGGCAGCTAGGTGGTGCATTGGATAAAGCTCCGGCCTTGGAGTCAGGAGGACCTGAGTTCAAATGCGGCCTCAGACACTTCACATTTACTAGCTGTGTGACCTTGGGCAAGTCACTTAACCCCAACTGCCTCATCAAAAAGCAAAAAAAAAAAAAAAAAAAAAAAAAACCTACACTATGCTAAACATTTTGAAAATGTTCAACTCATTTGATCCTCACAACAACCAGATGAGGTAGGTGCTATTATTGTCCCCATTTTACAGCTGTGAAAACTGAGGCAAGCAGGGGTTAAGTGACTTGTCTATGGACACACAGCTAGTAAGTGTCTGAGACTGGATCTGAACCCAAGTCTTCCTGACCTCATACCCAGCACTCTGTCCATTGCACCACCTTGGAGGAGGTGACATTTGAGTTGACTTTTAAAGGATGAGTATGAATGTTTCCTGTAAAGAGGTAGTAAAAGTGGAGGGTGTTTCAGGGATAGGGAACAGCTTAATCAAAGGCATTGGTCCTTAGGATTCATTGGGAGGGCTGAGAGTAGTCCCATTCAGTTTGGGCATAGAGTATGTGAAGGGTAGTGATAGAGATAAGGGAGCAGAGGTATTGTTATATTGTTTGAGAGGTTCAATAGAACCTTTTATATCAGCCATAAGAGTTTGAACTTAACTCAGGAGGCAAAATGAAGCCTCTGAAGATTTTTTAGTAGAAAAATTGCACAACCATCACAATATACAGAGTATATTGAGAGTCTTAGTGCAGTTTTAAGCCACTTAAGACTTTTGGGACTTGATATAACAGGCCTGCACAACTTGTGGCCCACCAAAGGGTTTTGAGGGGGCCCTCAGAAATGTAGAGGAAAACATCCTTTGTATGCAGAGAAAATTCTCTGGTGTGCTGCATGCAACCCGCAGGATGTAAGCGACTTGCTGGATGCAGATTGTGATGGCCTGTTAGGTAAGAAAGATTTTTCTAGCAGTGGTATGGATGGATTGGAAGAGACAAAAAGTAGAAATAGAAAGACTTAATAGGAGGTTATCACAATAGTATAGAATGGCAGTAGTAAAGATTTGTTCTAGGGACGGGATGGGTGGAATAGAGGCAATAAATGTGAAAGGTATTTTGGTAATGGAATTAATAGGTCCTGGTAGCCACAATCAGAAATAGTCAGACCTGTCCTTTAGAGAGTGGTGTCAAATTCAGATAGAAATGCAGGACACTATACTATACAAAAGATGCCTGCAGGCTACATATTGACTTAATTTTTAAAATGTGATATTATCTTGAGTTTTAGTGTATTTTTGTTTATTTTGTTAAATAATTCCCAATTACATTTTAATCTGGCATGGACTACATTCAGAAGTGTTGTGGGCCATATGCAGCCCTTGGGGCACATTTTTGACACCTCTTATGTAGACCATATAATATAATGTTCTATTATTTACTGCTTTGCTCACTAAATGTTTAATACACATATTCTGTGTGGCCAGCCAGATTATAAGCCCCTTGTGAGTAAAGCCCATGTCTTAGACAACTTTATGTTCCTCATAGCTCCTGATAAAATGCTAAACCTGCACTCATAGGATCATAGATTTAGAATTAGAAGGAACCTTAGGGATCTTCTTTTCTAATCTCATTCTGACAGATGAGTGAACTAAGACCAAGAGAAGTGATGTGCCCTGCCCACTCAGTAAATCCTTGTTGTTGACGGATTGCTAGAAAATGTTGATTTCTTGTCAGTAACTCACTTTTAATTTCTTGGACCAGGGGATGGTAAGACCAAGATCCGTGCCTCCAAGGCCAAAAGTGATAAGAAGAAGAAGCACCACCACCACCACCACCATCACCACCATCACCACCCACCTCAGCCACCTCAGTTGTTGTCACCTCCACCCCAGCTCTGTACAGAAGAGGTCCCCCCACCACCGCCTCCCGTGTTAGAGCCCCCCATATTAGCACCAGTATCTACTGCCACAGAAGAAAGTTTTCCCTTAGCCGCCCCCCTCAACATTGTCCACCCTTCTGAGGTGCCCAGCGAAGAGGATGACTTTAAGCCTCGACCTATCATTCCCATGCTTTATGTGGTTCCACGGACCAATAAGGTGGTATTTGACAAAGAGCGTGTATCTGGCCAGCAGACACTCGAGCACTTTGCTCAGAAGGGTCAGATTTGGAGGGAGCAGACTGTCCCCATGGAGCTAACAGTGAAGGAAGAAGAAAGGGGAGAAACTGAGCAGGTGGAGATCAGTCCCAAAGCCAGCGAGGTTCAGGTAATGTCATGGGAAAAGAGGCGAGCTAATCTAGCATAAGCAAACAGGAGGCATTAGTACTTTAGGAGAAATTGCTTTTTAAGCAAATTCTGTTTCCTAATTGTGAGCAGAATTTGAACTAGTAACATCCATGGGAGATAGAGCTAATCAAATTACCTGAGTGTAGGGAGCTTAGGTCAGATAAGGTGAAGATTGAGAAAAAGACATGGAATTTAGCTGAGTCAGGTTGTCTAGATAGCCATTAGCCTGGATGCCATTTTAGGCCTTCCAGGGAGGTTTCACCCTTCTTCAACTGCTGTTGTCAGTGGTATCATACCAGTAAAGAGTGCTGGCTATTCTTAGCATAATGCATTATTGACCTTGGCTAAGGGTGAAGATGGGGAACAAAAAAGGAAGTGTAGTTTCTCTGAAATAATAGGTAATCCTAAGTTGGGCTCTGTACATCTCAAAGCATTTCCTTTAAGTAGTTCTTATTTTTACAGGCCCCATCCACCTTTTCCAAATTGAAAATGGAGATCAAGAAGAGCCGGCGTCATCCCCTGGGTAAACCGCCAACTCGATCCCCGTTGTCCGTTGTCAAACAAGAGGGCTCAAGCGATGAGGGTAAGTGTAAATTTGCCTGAAGCCACATACTGTCGTCGTGTCTGGCCTACCAATAGTTTGATAACGTATGCTAAAATTTATTCAACGTCATCAAGGTTGAAGTTTTAAATATTAGCTTATAAAGTGTTACAACATAGATGTTAATATATAGATCATAGATGCATAGGGTGGGAAAGAATTTTCTGACAGAAATTGTCACAGCCCCAAGTTCCCTCTCGTATAAACAGGTATTTATAGCCTAACACTGGCAAGCACAAACATGGATACAAGAGTCCCTGTCCTTGGAGGACTTCTCTTGGGAGACATACATATGTACGTACGTCTCCCAAGAGACGCGCGCGTGCAGAGATAGCTCATGGAGTGAGAGAATGCTAATAACTGAGGGAATCAAAATAAGCCACCCTTAGAGGGTGATAGTTGAGTGGATCTTGAAAGAGACACCAAGGATTCAGAGAGGCAGAGGTGAAAGGGAGACTGTATCCTGGCTGGGAGGAGAGTTTGTGAAAGGCATGAAAATGGACCTGTTTGCACTAGAAAGTCATGTGTTTTGATGATAAGTAATGGGAACCATCACTGTAGTGGGAAGTGAAGCCAGATTGTGAAGTGAGGAGGAGTCATTTTGTCATAAAGGAAATGGGGAGCCACTGAGAATTTTAGAGCAAAGGCAGTCAGACCTGTCTGTAAGGGTTATTGTGGCAGCCTGGTGGAGGATGAGTAGAAAGGTGAGAGATGGAAGTGTGAGCTGAGCAGAAGCAGCGTGGTGTCATTTGGACTGGGCTGCGTGACCTTGGTCAGCTCCGTCCAGCTCCTCTTGGAGAGGCATCAGCAGGCAGGGGACAGGTGTGCAGGTGGGTGTAGTGCCAGATCTAACAGAAGTAGGGAAGTTCACTCCCATAGTCATGGATCCTGGTAGTTTTAGGACATCATTTTAAATCCAAGCTAGTCATTTCTCTTCTGGGGCTCACTTTCCTTACCTGTGAAATGAAGGGGTCATTTTCAGCTCCAAAACATTGATCCTGTAATTCTAAATATAAGAAATAAGAAAAGGCCCTGGGCAGCAGAGCGAATGCTATTTGACTTGTCAAACCTTAATGAAATAGAAGTTGGCAAGGAATACTGGGAAAGAGTGGGCAGTGGCATTGAGAAGGCAAGGGATTGGCTCATGATTACCTAGTGTCGGTTAGGGGCAGAACTTGAACCCTGCTTTTTCTGATTCCAAGGCTTTACCTATTGTGCACCACTGAACCAGGTCTTAGCTAGCCTTTATGTCTCCTGTAGTGATGAACAGGGAGCTATCTACTCTGTAGATACTTAATAGTTATTCAGCAAGCATTTATCAAATACCAACTAGATGATAGATACTGTGTTAAGCCTTTTTCTGTAGAAGACATATACAGACACTTTTAATCTCTGTCTCTCTCAATTTCCTCTACTGTAAAAATGGGGATAATAGCACCTACCTCCCATTGTTGTAGAAATTAAATGAGATAATACTTGTTTAAAAAAATGTTTACCACGGTGCCCTGGCACATAGTTGGTGCTATATAAACAATAGCTATTATTATATGAATATGAAAGTTTAATAAATAGAAAGTAATTCTTGAGGGGGTATGATGGATTGGGATAGGGAGGATACAGCCAGTAGGGGAATCAGGAAGTAATACGTGAGCTGAGCTCCAAGGAAGGGAGAGTGTGAATAAATGAACGAAGAATTTGAGCTGTTTCTACACAGTGCAGATTCAGCAGTGAAGATACCAGACAGGAGGTGCTCACATCTGCCCACTCGGGATCCTTAGTCAAGTCAACACATTGTGTCACATACCTACTATGTACCTGGCACTATGCTACGTGCTGGAGATACAAGGAGAAAAACAGTCCCTGCCCTCACGGAGCTCACAGTCTAATTGTGGGGGGAGGCCATAAGAGCTCACAATCTAATGGGGTGGGAGGTGGAACGGAGACAACGTGCAAACGACTTTGTACACACAAGATACAGAGAAGGACCATTCCAGGAAAGGCTTCTTTCAAAGGGTGTGAGGTATTAAATGAGATTTAGAAAAAGCCAGGAAGCAAAGATGAAGAGGGACTTAAGACCCCAGCTCCAATGTCCATCAGTTCAATTCAGTAGCTACTTTGTGCAAGACAAATTATAACCACATAAATATCTTGTAAGTGTGTATTATAATTGTCTATCTGTCTTGTCATCTTGTTAAACTGTAAATTCCAAGAGGGCAGGAATCTGGTTTTATATGAACTTTGCATCTCTCTAACACTTAGTACAGTACTATGTGCATGTTGGTGTTTAATCAGTGTTGAATGAATTCTATAGGTTGTACATATACAACCTGAGTCTGAAGGCATGCGCTTCAGGCAAAGGTAATGTAATGCACTGTGGTTGACTGTCTTTATTTTGTATATGTATTTGAGACATATATATTTTATTGGCACTAAAGATTTGCTCCCTACTTTTCTTACCCCCTTTTTTCCTTTTATCCCTCTCATTTTTTTAAAAAAAAAAAATTCTTCCCTTTCTTCCTCTCCCATTCCCGCTCTCATTCATTTCATTCTAGAAGCGTTTCCTTTCTCTGGAGAAGAGGATGTAAGTGACCCTGAGGCCTTGAAGTCTTTACTTTCCCTCCAGTGGAAGAATAAAATGCATAACTTCCAGGCAGAGAAGAAGTTCAATGCGGCTGCAGCCCTGGTAGAGCCGTATTGTGCTGTCTGTACTCTCTTCTACCCATATAACCAGGTAATTGCCATCTTGCTGAGAATTTCCTGTCAGCAGAATTGCTGCAAGGTGGATTTTTAATGTTTTCTTTCTCCTGTTGGTACTATTGATTGCTTTGCTTAAAGCAGTCTCAGAATTGCATTTTTATGGGTTCAAAAATCTGTTTCTAAAAACTAAAAATCAGGTTGTTTTAGGACAATGTAGTAGTGAGAGCCTTCACTGACATCTCTTTTTCTGTAGCTTGTCATCCATGGGAGGCGACCCTTTGCAGGGGAAGACAGACTCTGATGGATCTTACAAGCTGGGAAGGCTTTGGTTGGTTATGGACTGGTTCTGGCAGTAGACTATATCTGTCATTGAAGAACTGGTCTTGAGTTCAGGGAGGCTTCCCACCAAAATATCATTTTTTTGGTCAAATAAACCATCCACTAAAGACATAAAAATGTTATGATCTGTATTGGTGAAGGGAAAACCCTTATTTGTGAAATCATAGGGGTTTTAAAGTATTGAAAGTATAGCTGATTGGACAAGTATGTGGCACAGTGGATAAAGCACTGGCCCTGGAGTCAGGAAGACTCATCCCTCCAGGAATAAAGGAAGAGTCACTGTCAATTAAAGCTGTCCAGAGATTCCCCATTACCAAGGATACAAGGTCAAAGATAGAAAGAAAAGCGTCATTATGACCACAATATCCATGTCAGCACTTTTTGTGGCATCCAAAAATAGGAAATAAAATGAGCACCAGTCAGGTGGAGAATGGCATGATAGTTGTGGCATTTGAGTGGAATGGAATGTTATTCTGTGAGAAACAGTGAATATGAAGAATTCATAGACTTAGATAAACTGATGCAGAGTGACATAAGCAGAACCAAGAGAACAATGTATATAATGACAGGAAGATAGTAAATGAAAAGAAAACTAAGATGAAGCCAGACCCTGAGTTTCTATAATGACTAAAAATGAAGGAGCATCTCTGGCTAGGCGTCACTTTGGGTAGCACGCTGGACTTGAAGTCTGAAAGACCCACGTTTGAATCCTTCCTTTAAACACTTGTTAGCTGTGTGGCTCTGGACAAGTCATTTAACTTCTGAGCCTCAGTTTCCTCTTCTGTAAAATGGTAATAATAGTGCCTGCCTTACAGAGTTGTCATGAGGATCGAATGATATAATATATGTAAAGCACTTTGCAAATCTTAAAGTGCTTTATAAATGCTATCATCATCATCATCTTTTCCTTCTATTATTATTATTATTATTATTAATTATTATTATTCTTACTACTACTACCACCTCCTTACTCTCAGAGATGCAGGTGACTGTTGGTTTAAAATGTTGGACTGCCAGACTCCCCTACTGTTCCCGTTGTTTTTGTTTAGCTGTTTGTTTATTTGTTTATTGGGGGGGAGGGACAAATAGAAAGTGACATCTAGAAATGACCATGATATAAAAAATAAAAATTATTTTAAAACAAAATGGTTACAATTGTCACAGTGGAAGTTTCTCATCACTGGAAGTCATCAAATAGTTGTGTGGCTATCAGTCCGGAATATTGTCAAGAGAATTCCTATGCAAATATCGATGTTGGAGATGAACTCAAAGATCTCTTCCAGCTCTGAGTGATTGCATGATCAATCCACTCACTTAATGAGGTGCATGAAGAGTGACTTAGGGTTTTTTTTTTGGGAGGGGGGGTCCTTGTAAACAGTAACTTTTAGTCTTTAAGAATTGTCTGTGGCTAAAAAAAATGTGTCACCCCATGACACAGCAACCCATTGATGGGTCTTTCCAGACTTGTTAATCAGATTGAGCTTTGATCAACAGACAAGTTATTCATTGCCACATTCTTACGTGAAGCCTTTCTGGCTTGATAGAACTTGTCAAATCTTATGATCTATTGGTGTAGCTTTCTTTTCTAAAATATATTTTTATTTCATTGAGTATTTCCCAATTACATGTAAAGATAATTTTAACATTTTAAAAAATTTTGAATTCCAAATTTTCCCCTTTCTTGAGAAGTCAGGCAATTTGATGCAAACAAAACATTTTAATATTTGCCATGCTGCAAAAGGAAATGCAAGCAAAAGAAAAAAATAAAATTTTAAAAGTATGCTTCAACGTACATTCAGGGTTCGTCAGTTCTCTCTCTGGAGGTGGATAGTATTTTTCATCATGGATCCTTTGAAATTGTCTTGATCAGAGTATTTCACAGTTGATCATTTCTGCAATATTGCTGTTACTGTATACAATGTTTTGGCTCTGCCTATTTTACTTTGCACAAGTTCATATAAGTCTTCTCAGATTTTTCTGAAAGCATCCTGCTCGTCATTTCTTACATCACAATCGTGTACCACAACTTGTTCAACCATTCCCCAACTGATTTCCAGTTCTTTGCCACCACAAAAAGAGCTGCAGTAAATGTTTTTGTAATTTCTATATAGGTCCTTTTCCTTTTTCTTTAATCTCTTTGGAGTACAGACTTAGTAGTGGTATTTTTGGGTCAAAGGGTATTCACAGTTTTATAGCCCTTTGGGTGTAGTTCCAAATTGTTCTCCAGAATGGTTGAACTAGTTTACAATTCCACCAACTGTATTAGTGTCCCAGTTTTTCCACATCCCCCCAAGCATTTGTCATTGTCGTTTTTAGCATAGCTTTTGAAAATCTAGGATCACTACCATGCCACAAGACATCAAAGCAGTACTGAAAACCTCATGAGTACCAGTAAACATTTGGTGACTGTCCTACCTGCTGTTACCTAGACATTTGTGTAAAGGCCTGTCTTGTTGTCAGCCCTCCTGAAAAGGATATTTCGCTTTCAGTGAGGAGCTATCTCTTGCTCCTCAACTCTTTGGGGAAGGGAAGATCTCAGATCCCAAGCACTATGTGGTCTTGGATAAACTCAGGCTTCAGTGCTTTGGTTTTTCATCAAACAAATAGAGCCTCTTATACCATAGAAAGCTAAGTACTGCATAGAAGCTATTGAGGATAGTGTAGTTTTTAAGCCTATTGTTGATCTTGGAGAATTATAGGGAGTGTCTAGGCACTTATTTGCTGCAATATTTCCAGCAGTATGGCTAGTAAGCATGGCAAAAAGTGGAATGGGCCCCCTTGGTAGGGTTAGGTAATGAGTTTACCATCTTTAAGGGGAGGCCAGCCAGATGACCATTTTTTAGTGATGTCATTCTCTGTGGCCAGTATCACAACACCATGAATTCTTTTACTTTGTTTACCCTGACATAGAGCTGGCATTTATACAGTGAATGTTTTGGAACAAGAGCCCCTCTGCCCACCTATTAGAGGAAAGATTTTATTTAACACTGCTTTGTTACTTTTTAAGTCCTTACAGACAGATAAAGAGACTTCCCAGGCGTCTCTGGGAGAGACCTCCTCACTACTTCAGCTTTCTAAGTGTGGACAGAAGACCAAGCCCTTGATCCCGGAAATGTGTTTTACTTCAAGCGGTGAAAATACTGAGCCTCTCCCTGCAAATTCTTATATTGGTGACGATGGAACCAGCCTCCTCATTGCCTGCGCCAAATGCTACTTGCAAGTTCATGCCAGTAAGTTAATGCACTTCACGTGGGGACTGAGGAAAGGGTGGGCTGTTGGTTGGGAAAAGTACAGATATAAGGCAGTGTGAGTGGTTGTGGTTCTGTTCAAAAATTCAGGCATCCTTGAAACAGTGTCTCCTGACAGATGAAATCTACTAGTTGGGAAATATTGATATTCCTCAAGAAATGCCTTTGGTTAGTTCATATATTTGACGTATTCATATATTTCCGCTTATAGAGCCTCTTTGAATGCTTTTACTTGCTTTTCCTGGACTTAGTCTCCACCCATAGCACCTATTTTCTGCCATTCTCAAACATCTACGCTAGGCCTGATCTACACCCACAAGGTATAGGTTTTCACATTACCATACTATACACATTATTTCACATTACTACACAGTGGGACTATGATCCTTGTTCATTGACTTCTTCAAAAGGCTTGGCATTATCTCGAGTTGATTTCCCTTTTGAATTTCCTAAAGCTTCTGGTTTTCTTTATGGCTTGGCAATTCTTGGATGCTATACATCACATAGAAAACCTGAGAGGATATATCACGTGATTAGGCAAAAAAGCACAGAAGATGTTGAAAAAAGGTTGCCCTTCTATAGCATCAGTTAAAGGTCCATGAAGATCACATCAGCACAGAAAGAAAAGACAAACATTGTAGATGTAGTGTCTTCCTTTTTCTATTTGATTTTAGAATGTTTCCTTCTAGAAACCCAGGGCAGAATTTAGTAACTGCTAAACTCCTGCAGATCAGTTAGGTATATTTTCAGTTATAGTTCAGGCTCCTATTGTGACGGTATCTTATCAGAAGGAGGCCCTTTATTTCACTGGGTACTTTTCTTCTGACTTTTCTATTACCAAACTGCCTTCTTGAGTTCTTCATGAACAGAATAGTTAAATTGATGAAGAATGCCCTAGGGCAGCTAGGTGGCACAGTAGATAGCGTGCCAGTCAGGAAGACTGAATCCAAATCTGGCTTCAGATACTTACTAGCTGTGTGACCCTGGGCAAGTCACTTAACCCTGTTTGCCTCAGTTGCTTTTCTGGAAAATGAACTGGAGAAGGAAATGGCAAACCACTCCAGTATCTTTGCTAAGAATACCCCAAATGAGGTCACAAAGAGTCAGACACAACTAAAAAACAACTGAACAGCAAAAAAAAAGCCTTGGGAGGATAGGAGAAAGAAATCCCCAAACTTTGCAACTTAATGATTTTATTTTTCAAGCCAACTGGAAAACACTTGGGTTCAGGGGTAGGGGACAGCCGTGTCCTTGGTCTGCATTAAGATCATCCTGCCATCACAACTCTGTGTGCTGATTATCTGGGATTTATATCCTTTCCTGTTCCTCTGTGCTTGACTCCTTGTTGCTTCCCAGCCTTCAGAGCCACATTGCCTCTCATTATCATTTCTAAATATATAGGTTAAAATAAGTTGATCTGGATATTTTTTGACTGGCCAGGAGTTTAATTCAGGAAGTTAGAATGGAGCTTTTGGGTGAGTGGATTGGATTTAATTGTGGCACTGTGGTATAGTAGAAGGAGATTCTTCTTATCCTTCCCATGGTAGGAGCACCTTGTCCCCTTCCACAAGTAAGCAGAAGTTAATTAGGTACTAGTTAACGATTATGAAACTAGTTTACTTGTTTCTTGCTTCTGTGCAAAAAGGTATCAACAACCCAAAGATTAAGCTTCTAGGAAAGGATGAATGAATGAATGAATGAGTGACATGCTAAGTTGAGCCATGAAGAGACAGTAGAAAAGGGAGGTAGTCTCTATGCTCAAGGAATTCATATCACAAGAGATAGCACTTATTAGACAGCAAGTTTGGAAAGAGGGGGAAAGGTAAAGCAGCCTTGGTGTCAGGGTAAACAGGAAGGGGATGATGGTTCTCCATCTTACCAGTAGCAGGACTATAGTGGAGAGCTCCATGCTTATTGAAGTGATGTGAACAGTTATATTTGCCCCACATCAGAGAGCTGGAGGGTCTTAGGCCCACAGTCATGCAAAGGGAAGAGCTAGAGTAGAACAGGTGCATTAGGCTTCTCCTAAAGGAATAGGGATGGGGGAGGAAGAGAAGGGTTGAAATCCAGTCAAGAGGGGAAAGGAAGGAAGCATTGTCTGGAAAAGTAAGAGGGAAGGGAGATATTAATGGAGCATGAACAAGGGCTGGAACAAGAGAATAGGTCAATCCCCTCAGCCCTTTGGCTGAGGAAAGGAAAAGGAAGGCATTTAATTTTATATTCCCCATTGAAGGTAGAGCAAAGAACTGTAACTTAGATCTTTGTACTTTTTGGAAAGTTCGTGTTATTCCTTCCCCTCATTTACTCACCCTGAAGTTAATTTTCATTTGCTAGCTTAGTGCTTATTTCATAAAAGTTTCAAGTCATTTTTGGAGAGAATCTTCTGTTCTAACCTATTCTATAGATTGATTAAGTGACCAGTAGCCCTCGGGGCCTTCTTGTTGAACCTTGGGGGAGAAAATAGTAGGGAGAATTAGAGAGAAGAAAGATCAACCCACCATTGTTTGAGCCCTTTGAGAGAAACCTTGGGCCTGCTGCATCCTGGATTTTTTGCTTAGATGTTAACTGGAAAGAGGATTTCTAATGGCAGATAATAGCATCATGAGTTTCTTGCCAATAATGTGGAAGACTAGTGGCAATACCCAGTTGAGCTTTGCAGTTGAACCGAGTAGTATGATAGAATATTGATCTACTATTTGACCTTGGTAGAGAAGGTCACATCTACTTCTTATCAAATAAAATTACTTTTCATGGTTTTAGCCTTGTAGATAAGAGGTCACCACATAGTTCAGCAAGATATCTTTGGTAAAGAATTAAAACAAAAGCAAGAGTTCAGTTCCCTTGTTGCTCCTTGGAGACTAGGATCCTACCACTTCTGTGGTAGTAAGTGTGCTTATAGAACTAAGGTGATAACCTAGAGCCTAAGCATCCCTGATCCAGCCATATGCTATAATCCCTAGCTGCTTTGCTTCTTGCTTAGGTAAGGATTTAGATTCTAATCTGGTTCTCCACCTTCTCTAGCAGTGCACAAGGGAACTTTCTTACCAGGCTGAGCTATGTTTTGGGGAAGAATTATCCATCAGTCAACACATAAGGGTGAAGTTACAGCTTTTCTCCAGCTCGGCTTTCTCTCTCCCGAACCAGTGTCATCTGGCTTTCTCCTCTAGGCTCTACTGTATAAAGTGTCTTTTTTTTTTTTTTTTTTTTTAAGTAGCTAACTTGGCTTTTCCACTTGGTCTGCCAATCTGTCTCTATTGGAGAATGAAGCTGATAGTAATGTCCTGGCTGTGTCTGCTCACACTCTTTGTGCTGTCTTCCTGTTACTTGAAACCTACTGTAGGAGCTGTATTCTGAGGACAGTTATGTTCCCAATGCAGAGCCTTCCCCTTGGGATTTCAGAGGCGGGAGATAATCACTGAAACTTCATTCAGTTGCATACAGCTCTGATGTTACCAACTGAAATATTTATGCAGTCCAGCTCCTATTTCACATCAATTTCTTGACTGGTTTTACAAACCCTGAGCCAGTCAGCCCTGGGCTTCCTTCCCCTTCCCCACTTCCACGGCTTGATTTGGATTTGCCTGCATAGTCTGTCCATGACCAAAAGATCCTTTTGATGGAATAGACTTGTGTAGCCATATTGAATTCTTTTCAGTATATGTCTTATACGTCTCTTGTTTGTACTACTGAGGTTGTTAGGAACCTAACTGTATTGATGTTTTCATTTTAATTATTACCCAATCAGAATATGTCACAAAAAGTTAATTTGTCAGATACAATAACCAGTCTTCAATTGCTTTGATAGTGAACTTTTATAACAAGAAAATATTTATATAACTGAGCGCACAGAATATCTTAACTATCTTGGCCTTAATATTTTAGGTTGATAGCTTGGATTTATCCAGAATTAACCACATGTAAAGGGGATTTTAGTTTTCTTTCTCTATAACATTAGCATTTTACGTGAACCATTTCTAGCTTCTTTTGCCCCAAAGCCTTTTGTTTCACACTGTGTGCAGTGGCCTGAATTAAGGTGAAGAAGATGGTAAAAGAGAACAGTTATCTTAAATGCAGTGAATTCTGGAAGGCCTTTTAAATCCCACCAGCAGCTGTGCCTATCAACTCCCAATGGCATAGCATATGAGCTCTGGATCTCTGCCTTCTTTCAGGTTGCTACGGAATCCGTCCTGATCTGGTAAATGAAGGTTGGACCTGTTCCCGGTGCACAGCCAATGCCTGGACAGCGGTAACATACTCTTTACTGCCAGGGCTCTTTGTTTGTCAGACTTTGCTCATAGGCATTTGAAAGTCCCTGGTCTTCAGGCCTTTGGGGCAGAGAGTTAGAATTGAGATAGAACTTGGGTCTCTGTCATGATTTTCTTGTAACTCTGTGACTTCAGGCATGATTCCTCCCTTCTCCAAGTGTGTCCTCTGTAAACTGAAAGAATTGAATTAAGACAGCCTGTAAGAGTAGATATGGAAGAGAGAGCCTGATATAGTAGAAAGTGTACCAGATTTGGAATCACTGGATTGTCCCATCACTAGTTTTCAGGCAGAGATTGGATTACTGCTTGTCAGGTTTATTGTTTATTGTATATCTGCTGAAATACAGCTGGGACTAGAATAAAATGCTCCCTTTGATGCTAAGATCTGGTTTTAGAACCCTGGTTCTGACATTTATCTCGCTGTATTAATAACCCTGAACAATTTACTTAAACTTTTTGAGGTTCAGTTTCTTCCCGTGTTAAATGGTGATAACAATACTTGTACTACCTAGGTCACAAGATAGTTGGGGGTGGGGTGGGTTTGGAAGCTTTAAAGTGTTGCTGAAATGCCAGGTGGTTTTGTTACTCCTGAAGAGTTAATTTAAGGATCTGTCTCCAAGAGATACTCTACTGGGACAGTGAGTAAGAGCACCAAGTGGAAGATAAGTTGAGTGGGAGCGGTCTGGTAGCTTTTGCCATTAATCTGTACAATGGTTTTTCCTCTATTAGGAATGCTGTTTATGCAACCTCAGGGGAGGAGCTCTTCAGATGACAATTGATAAGAGGTAGGAAGGGTTCTTATTATTTTTTGAGTGTTTGGCCCTAAAGCTTACATATTAGCACATCATGACTTTTCCTCTACTGTGGGTGGTTCTTACTGGGCACAGCAAAGAAGAGGAAATGATTGATCTCTGTACTAGAGGTGATACTGACTACTTTTTTTATCCTGATGGTGGTGTCACTGATCCCTCAAATACCAAGCAAGACCCAAGTATTGGACAAAGATTATGGTTGGGAGACAGTAACATCAGACTTAAAATAAGTTATGTCTAAAAATCCCATCTCATAATCTATCTTATGAACTCCTTAACATCAGGAGCCATGTTGTAGTTTTGTGAGAATGGTACTGAACATGGAATTAGGAGACCTGTTTAAGTCCTAGTTTACCTTCTTATCTATATAAGCTTTCCTGAACTTCAGTTTTCTTCTCTGTAAAATGGGGATAATTATAGATTAGCACAGCCCTACTTCAGCTAATACATGCCTTTATGCACAATGAGCAGTCAATACAGTATGACTATTCAATCACCAGCCACCTGAAAAAAATGTTTAAAATCACTAGTAGTCAGAGAACCACACATTAAAACAGTCCTGAGATATTACTTCACATAGATTAAGCCAGCAATGGTGCTAATTGGAGGGGCTATATATAGTAATACTGATTCACTACTGGTAAAGTTGTGAATTTCTTCAATGGTTTTGGAAAAACAAATTGAACAAGAAAAATTGCCCAATTGCTCATATGCTTTAACTCTGAGATTCAGCTACTGGTACTATATTCTAAGGAGATTATTAATCACCAAAAACAAAAACTCATCCATACTAAAGCGTTAGTAGCAGTGGATTATTTGTGTTAAAACTAGAAACAAAATACATGTGTAGTCATCAGGGAATGGCTGAAGAAGGAATGATAGAAAGCAGTGGAATAGAACATATTAATAATTTTAATAACAAAAAAAGTGAGAGCTCACCAAAAAGTAAAATTTGTAATCAAGCTCTTCTGTGCACCGTCCAGGTGGATCCATGTGATCTGCGCTATTGCTGTCCCAGAAGTACGATTTCTTAACGTAATAGAGCGTCACCCTGTGGATATCAGTGCAATCCCAGAGCAGCGATGGAAATTGGTAGGTGTTTAAGCCATGTCAGACTATGTTCTGTTTTTGTGGAATTACTATGTGCTTTCTTTACCCAAAGGAATAGTCAGCAGATATTAAGTATATCTATGTGCCATGCACAGCAGTAAACATTGGGGATACAAAGAAAGACAAATACCTTCCCTGCTCTGAATAAGTCACAGACCCTTTATTAAGCACCTGCTTTGTGCCAGCCTGCAGATAGAAAGAAAGACAAAAGATAGACCCTGTTCTTGAAGAACTCGCACTGTCTAATGAGGGAAAACACGTAAGTGACTGTATACAAACAAGCTAGAGACAGAATAAATTGGGGATAGTCTGAGGTGGAAAGTTCTAAGATTAAGAGGGACGGGCAGCAGAGACCTCTCATAGAAGTTGGGACTTTAGTTGAGACTTGAAAGAAGCCAGGGAATCAGAAGGAGGAAGAATGTTCCAGGCATGGGCAATAGCCAGTGCAAATGTATGACATCAAAGGTGGCTTCTTGTGTGTGAGGAACAGCCAGGAGGTCAGTCTAGTAACTGCAGAATACATGGAAGGCAGTGAAGTATAAGAAGACTGGAAAGGTGGGGAGGAGGGATGTTAGCTTTAAAAGCCAAATAGAGGCAAAATTTCAATGAATGAGGGTGGTCCTAAAGAAAAGAAATGAGAAGACACTCCTTCTATACTTTGCAGAGGGAGATCCATGGGTGTGGTAGGTACATTGCATATATTTTCAGACTTTTTTGATGTATTGATTAGATTTGTTGAATTTTTTTCTTCCTCTTTTTTTTCTTTAACAATATAATTTCTCATATAGGATGGCTTTGGAAGGAGGAGGGATACTGGGAAAACTTCTGATGGTAAAAAAAAGATTACAAAAATGTATTTAAAGAGAAAAAAATGAAACAGGATTTTATATTTGGTCCTGGAGGTAATTGTGAGCCCCTGGCCTTTATTGAGTAGGCAGGTGTCATGGTCAGACCTGTGCTTTTGTAAGGTCACTTTGGATTGGAGTAGGGAAAGACTTGAGGCATGGAGACCAACCAGAACGCTATTGCAGTAACCTAGACAAGAGTGATGAAGGCCTGAGCAAAGCATGGTGGCATTGTAAGTGGAGAGAATGGGACTTAAACAAGAAATGTTGTTAAAGTAAAAATGACACGAGTTTGTTAATAGGTTGGAAGTAGCACTGAGATTTGAATCCAGGAGGACAGTGGTGTTCTTAGCAGTAATAAAAAAGTTGGAAAGAGAGGACGGTTTAGAGGGAAAGGTCATGATTTGTTTTAGACATGTTGAGTTTGAGGTGTCTAAAGCCCAACTGGTGCTCAAAAAAGAAATTAGGGGGACATCACACATACACACACACACCCCCCATTTGTGAGTTAATGAGAATACCAAACAAGATAGTATGGAGGGAAGAGAAAAGAAGGACCCAGGATAGATTGGTGAGGTACACCCACAGTTGGTTAGTGAGCATGAACTTAATGAAGATCCAGCAGAGGAGGCTGAGAAGGAAGAGTCAGGCGGAAGGAGGATCAGGAGAGAGCAGTGTTGTGGAAACCTAGAGGATAGGACGATGATTGACAATTCCAAAGGCTGCAGAGAGATCAAGAAGGATGAGGGCTGTGAATAGGTCGTTTGGTTTGTTGGTGAAGAGGTCACTGGGAATGTTAGAGAGAACGATATCAGTTGAATGATGATATCAGAAGCCAGTTGCCAAAAAAAATTAGAATCAAGAAAAAGGAGAGGAAGTAGAGACAGGTACATATGGCTCTCTTAAGGAGTTTAGTTGAAAAGGAGGGAAGAAAACAGTTAGGAGGATAGTTATCTAAGAAGGTTAGATCAAGTAAGGACAGGGAAGACATGGATGTGTTTGTAGGCCACAGAGAAGAAACCAGTAGAAGAAAAGGAAAGAGGAAAGTAAGCATTTTATTGAGCACATAGTGTATGCCAGGCACTGTGCTAAGTGCTTTACAAGTGTTACCTCTTTTGATTTTCACAACAACCCTGGGAGGTAGGTGCTGCTATTAGCCCCATTTTACATTTGAGGAGCCAGGAACAGACAGAGGTTATCTGAGGCAGGATTTGAACTCACTCCAGGTTCAGTACTCTATCAACGTGCCATCTAACTGCTTTTATAGATAAGACAATGTTGAAGATTAGAGCAAGTGGGCATGATATTGGGGGGTAATCTGATAGAGGGGTTCGCCATGTGTTACATAGGTAAAAGAGGGGAGGAGATAATGGGAAAAGGTAGATTTCTGACTGATGTGAGAAGTGAGAACTCTTGGCAAATGGCCTCCATTTTTTTCAGTGAAGTATGAGTCTGATGTGGTAGGGGAGGGGATGCCATAGGAGGAAATGATGAAAAAGTTTGGAAACAGCCACTTTGTTCAGTGGGATGGCAAAGCAGGGAGTAGTAAGAGGCTTGCCTGTATGACATAAATTTGTCATGTACACAACATGGTTTGTGATTTTTCTTCAGCTACTTTTATCAGTACATGAATAGAAGCATAGAAAACAGATAGTGGCAATAATCAAAGGCTGAGGTTTGAGTAGAGGCTAGTGTAGAGGTGAACTGGTTGGCCAGAAGCTTGAGAGAGGGAGAGAGGGAATGGAGGAGAAGGTAGCTAAAGAAAGGTGATGGCCTGGGAAAGAACAGAGGGGTGGAGGGCCTGAGACCGCTGTGAGGACAAAGAAGAGGTCCTAAAGCATAGGGAAAGGTGGAACAAGAAAAGACTTTGGTTAACTAAAGGAATTTCATGACACCCAGAGATGCCTCTCTCTCACACACACACACACATACATACATACATACATACATACATACATATTCTTTTAGGGAAAGCATTGCTGGGCTGGGACCTAGCCTAAATTCTAAACATGACCAGGGCAAAGCATTTCATAGCTCTGAGTCTCCATTTCTTCATCTACAAAATGGTTATAAAAATGCTTGTGCCACCTACTTCATGCCTGTGGTGAGGAATGTATGGTATAAGCTATAGAGTGCTGTGTATGTGAGAGTTATTATCTTTGTAGTTAGGTAAAATGAGGAAGCTGACAAAAGGTTTACTCTCTGATACTTTTTCCACATGTATGATTGAGCCTTTTTGTTTTTTTGTTTTTTTACACAGACTAAAACTTACACTACCAAATGAGCATTGTCCTTCAGAGTTGTCCTTTTGAGAAACCATACCGTTTTCCCAGTGGTGTAGCCATTGCTTAAAGTATTTTGAAGATGTCTTTTCTAAAATTTTGGTTAATTCAACCACTCACTTATGCACCATGTATGGTCAGAATAAAAAAAAAAACAAATCTTCTCCCAAAATATTTGCCACCAGTGAGGCTATAAAGAAAAACATGCCATAGGCTCTGGAGGCAATTTCCAAAGAGGCTCCTATAACATTTTCTGCGATCAGAGAAGCGTTGCAATCTTTGCAATATTTTAAAATTACAATCTTGTTTTTATTGATATCTTTTGTATTTATGTTACCTTTACTTCCAGATATACACCTTTCCATCTCTTATAATAAGGATTTTAAAAGAAGTGTTAAAAAAAAAAGGCAATTCAACGAACCAAACCAACACCTCAGCCTTGTCTAACAGTATAATCCCATTCTATAACCAAAAGTCCCTCACCTCTGCAAAGTGGGAGGGGTGGTGCATTTTCTCAGTTCTTTTCTGGGGTCAGAACCCAACAGTTCTACCGTGTGTCAGGCATTATGCGAGGCACCAGTGATACAAAGACAAAAATGTTATTGGTCCTTCCTCTCAAGGAATTTATATTCTATTGTGGGAAACAACACATACACATATAAGTATATATAAAATATATATTTGTCAATACAAGGTAATTTTCTAGGAAAGGCGCTTAGAGTTGGAGGATTTGGGAAAGGTCCCAGCTGAGAAGGGGACTTAAGAGTTGGAAGTGAAGGGGGAATGCATGCTAGGTGTATGGTAGCAGCCTGTGCAAAGACATGGAAAAGAGAAACAGGAGGTCATGTGAGGAACAGGAGATAGGCTGGTTTGTCTGGAATATAGAATAAATAATGTCTAATAAGCCTAGAAAGAGAGATGTTCTCATATGTTGTAGGATGCATGCCATTTGCATTTATATGTAGTGATTCTGATAAATTTGTTTAAAAATAGATGTTAGAGTCACACTTAATGTGTATAGATGGACGCTTTGCGGTCCTCAACCTTTGTAAGCAGCCTTCTTTTAGGGATTGAATAAAATGAATTCATACACCAGAGTTAGGTTTGCTATAGTTAAATAGAGGCTTGCATTACTGACTCAGTTTATTCTTTTGGCCATTTATTCTGTGATGGTAATAGTTTCTCGAGAAATAGTTTAGTCCAGCTGCCTCATCTTTCATGTGAGTTTTAACCAGAGGTAAATGTGAAGGCAACTCTGTCTTTTGGGGTTGAGGATTTAGCATTCAGACTCTCATGTGTCCACTTGGGGGCAGTATCTCCTGCATGGTGATCAGGCTTCTCAGGATGCTCTCATGGTCCTCTGCACCAGTGAGATACCTGGCAGCTGCCACCAAAGAGGAGACTGCTGCATGGGTGGGGTACGGAGGAAGAACTCCCTGTGCTTTTAGGGGTGCACAATGCACTGGAACATCAAACTGGTGGTTGGGCCCAGGTCAGTTGCTGGTCTGTGTTGGAGGGATACATGTGGGTGAGGTAGTGTTTGGGAAGGGGAAAGAGATTCATTAAGCATTCAGCCACCAGAGCCAAGCCCAGCCAGGCATTGGATGGGTGATTACGAAGAGGCTGTGTTGGTTTCCAGAGTTATTCCTCTGTTGTGCAAATGGGTTTTATATACAAATGTGGATGTAAAAAGCATTCATTATTCAGGTAGAGTGATGGAGCACTGCGACATGCGAGTGATAAATCCTCTCGCACAGGCTCCTTATGGATCATCTGACATTTCCAGCATGCATCCTCTTCATTACCAGCGCTTGTAACGATGAATTAAAAATCCTTTTACACAAGGCTCACTTGTACTGCTTAATGGGGCCTCACAAGGAAAGCACTTAACTCCTGCAGGTCTGCCCACTAGCAGCCTAACACCATTGTACCTGCCCAGTATCTCCTCCCATTGCTCATTCCAGGCCCAACCTTCTTGGTCTGATTATGTGTCTGTGGCTAAGAAAGATGACTTCACGGGAATGTGATTTGCATTTACATATACCAGGATCCCATGTAGGAAAGAAAAATTTAGTCCTTCTCAGCTTAGACCTGATCAAAGCACCTTCTCAGGCTGCCTATTAGATTACCAGCTCCCATAGTGGTTTAAAAGAGCCCACATCCGAAGGCTTAACCACATGGACACAGAACCTTCAGATCTGACCCGTCTTAGCCAAGTTGAGGAACAAGAAGAGGCTAGCTACTGCTTACTTTATAGGTCAGTGGTCTGATTCGATTGGGCAGTTCATGGCTGGTCATAGCTTCTGCTCTAGGGTGAATGTTTATAGATAGTGTGTGGGATTTCTTTATTTGAGACATGAGACATCTCATTTGAGATTTCTGTGAAGAACTGTTAGGTATGAGAAGCACACAAGAAGAGTGCTCCATTTATCTGTTCTTGGGATATATTATGTGTAAAGTCTGAGAGGACTTTGGGCCTGGTTCTTGATAGAAAGGAAGTTATTATTCTATACTCTGCTACTAGGAATGTTTATTGATTAAATTAGATCACCTGTCCTGCACACCAGTAGGTAAACCTGCCTGTTCTTTCACACTGCTCTGTGCTTTATATCATTCTTCATGCACAGATGTTTTGTTACGGTTTGGGAGAGCACACTAATAGCATGATGTCCGCTAGGAGTCACTGTAGGTCTGCATCAGTAAGCATTGAATTGAAACCCAGCCCTGTGCATCATGGTTCAGTTTTCCATCTAAACCTGCAGCCCTTTCTTCACATATTATTCACCACATAGCTACATATGTGGGTAGCCACTTGAATTCAGTTTCTGTATCCCCCAAAAGTGGTCTTATGGACCACTAGGCAGGTCATAGATCATAGCATCTGGAGACGGAAGGGACCTCAGAAATTTTCCAGTTGAGTCCATAAATGAATGGGAATCTCCTCCACCACATCCCTGAGAGTTGGTAATCCAGACCTTGGTCTCAAACGTCTCCTGAAAGGAGGTTGCTACCACCCAAACCCAAGGTAGCCCTTTTCACTTTCAGATGGCTTCATTGGAAAGTTTTTCTTTAACATCAAGCCTAATTCATTTGAAGATATTACTAGATCTCTAAGATAATTCCTAATCCTGAACAAGAATGAATGGGCAAAAATATCTGCTGCTAAAATACTGAAACCATAACTTGTTAGCCGCATTGTAGAGGTGTGGTCCTCTGCTCTGAAACTCTTTCCTCACATTGTTCTTTTGAGGGCTGATATTCTTTCCTGAGGAGCCTTCAAACCTGGATCTGACTCAGCGGGCATGAATAGAGGAGATTCAGGGAGTAGTGTCTTTGAAGAAGCCCAGAGTATCTGAATGATCCATCAGTATGTCATCTGCATTGAGCCCATGCTGCTTCTTATGGTGCAAGGCTCTCTTAACCCAGCCAGTCATGCACTGTTGTAAGAAATGGTCTTTGCGTGGCTCCTGATTAATGGTGTATTATGGGCCTGAGTGTAAATTATTTATGATGTGGAAGTTCAGAATAATTAGCTGTCATTCCTCAGTGGAGTAAATGAATTGTAGTGTTCCTCATACTGAAGACAGCCCATTCTTCACTCTGTGCTCTGATCTGATTTTTCACTATGCATCTGCTCTAAGGATTTTCTTTCATGAGCATGGATAGCTAGGTTTGGCCCTCATCCCTACAAAGTATCTTTGGATAGTTACTTTTTTTCCCTTCACAACTTTCTTAGACTCTTGATTTCCTTTTCTGGATGTTATAAGGGTGTGTCTCTTCAGGCTATAACTAGCCTGCTTATTAGTGATTTGTTTCAATGAAATGTGTAGAACCGGTCACTCTTGTTTTCCATGTCCTCCATTTTGTGGAGGAGTCTGGTTGTGACTTGAGTCCTGTTCAGTATCTTCAATCATTCTGTGTTGGTGGTGGCTCTCACAGCGAGGAAAATCAGAGTCCTCAGGACTTGAAGGTCAATACTCCCTCACGAAGGAATATTGAGCATGTTGTATATCAGCGCTGTCCCTGTTGGTGAGAGAATTTTCTATTGACAGTTTAGTAATGAGATCTCATCACTATTGATTCCAGTGTGAGGCTATGTTCCTGCTGAGCCCTTAGCTATAGTACTTATCTAGTATTTGAACACAGTTTCCTGAGTGATAAAGGAGCCAGTTATTAAATACTAGGAATGATATTTAGATAACATAAAGGGGTCTGGCTAGTTCTAAAGCTGGCCAATTCCCAGGATTACCACAGTATCCCTGTACAGCAGTGGGGTGGGGTGTAACATACCCTAGTTCCCCTAGAGTGCTCGTTGGCCACGTATACTGGGGTAAGGTACACATGTGCAGCGAGGTGTCTGGTTTCAGATATGGGTGATGCTGTGTGGTTCAGCAAGGATAAAGCCCTTCATCATCAGGGAGCTGTATTTTATGAGGCTTTTTTTTTAAGGCAGTTATGCAAAAATAGTTTTCTGTGGAAAGAAAATCAGAACAATTCCTTTGAAGCGTGACAAAAGCCTCCAAAGGGAAGACCAGAACTGAGACAACAGTGTGGTCTGAGGCACTTCCTTGGAAGGGATGTAGCCAAGCCTTGGATTTTGTCAGAAGACCTAGGCTCAGTCAATTAGCTTATGCCATTAGCTTAGCCATGCTAAGCACTGAGGATACAAGGAAAGACAAAAATGCAGTCCCTGCCTTCAAGTAGCTCACAGTCTAAAGGTGGAGACAACATGCACAGGTCATACACACTAGGCATCTACAGTGGAAAGGAAAGGCTCTCTCTGAGTGAAGGCACTAGCAGCAAGGGGGGAGCTGGGAAAGGCTTCTTAGAGAAGGTGGGATTTGAGCTGAGTCTTGAAGGAAGCCATTGAAACCAAGAAACAGAGATGAGAAAGGACAGTATCCCAGCCATGGAGGACAGCCAGAGAAAAGGCACAGAGGCAGGATGGAGTGTGGGATGTGAAGGGCACCAAGGCCAGTGTCGCTTCATTATAGATTATGTAGTGGGTAGTGATAGGCAGTGTAGTAGATAGAGTGCCTGGCCTTCTCTTCCTGAGTTCAGATCTGGCCTCAGACACTTACTAGCTGTATGACTCTTGGCAAGTCACTTAACTTTGTTTACCTCAGTGTCCTCATCTGTAAAATGAGCTGCAGAGGAAATGGCAAACGCCACTCCAGTACCTCTGCAAAGAAAACCCCAAATGGGGTCGTAGAGAGTCGGGCACAACTGAGACAACTGAACCACAAAGGCTGTAAAATATAAGAATCCTAGAAAGATAGGGAGAGGATTTTATATTTGATCACAGAGGTAGCAGGGAGTCACTGGCATTTGTTCCATAAAGGGGGACAAGGGGTGACATGGTTAGACTTAGATTTTAGAAAATTATTTGGCAGTTGAGTAGAGAATGGATTGGAGGGTTGAGAGACTTGAGGCAGGGAGATCAATTAGAAGTGATTGCAAAAATAAAAAATAAAAAAAGAAGTTATTACAATAGGGCAGGCATGAGGTGATACGGAGCTTGCAGCAGACTTGCAGCTGTGTGGGTGGAGAGAAGGAGACAGATTCAGGAGATTTTGAGAAAGCAGAAGGTACCAGATTGGGCAGCATAGTGCTTATGTCAGGATTCAAGGACGGCACTGAGGATGCAAGCCGAGGGTGTGGGGGGAGACCGTGGTGCCCTCAGCAGTAAAAGGGACCATTCAGAAGAAGGGAAGGTTTGGGGGAATGACTGAGTAGTGTTTTGGATGTGGTGAGTGTGAGATATCCTGTTCAAGATGTCCTAGAAGCAGCTCTGCTACTGACCCCGTTTGGCCTCGAGCAAGTGGTTTCTCTCTGTACATTATTTTTCTCTACTAGAAAATTATGTGGTTAAGCTAGAATGATCTCTGAGTGTCCCTGGAGGCAAGGAAGGACCTGAGGTCAAATTCAGCCTCATATACTTAATAGCTGTGTGACCTTGGGCAGGTCAACTTAACTAACTCTGTCTGCCTCAGTTTCTTCAACTGTAAAATGGGGGTCATAGTAACACCTACCTCCTGGGGTTGCTATGAGGATCAAATGAGCTAAAGTGCTTAGCACAATTCCTGGCACAAAGTAGACACTTATTAAGTACTTATTCCCTTCCTACTTCTTCTCCTCCCTTCCCCCCAGAGGGCAGGTACTAGAATTAAGGAGGGAGATCAGGAAAGGCTTCAAGTAGAATTTTAGTTGGGACTTGAGGGATGCCGGGGAAGCTAAAAGGGAGAGATAAGGTGGAAGAACATTCCAGGCATGAGGACAGCCAGAGAAAATGCCTGGAATTTTGTGTTTGGGTAAAAAGTTTTTAGTTGACCAATTAATGAGCATGTTTTCCCGTACAAAAACCAGATTTCTCTGTCTGTGTCACTTCAGAAATGTGTTTACTGTCGAAAGCGGATGAAGAAGATATCTGGAGCTTGTATCCAATGTTCCTATGAACATTGCTCTACTTCTTTTCATGTAACCTGTGCCCACGCAGCTGGGGTCCTAATGGAACCTGATGATTGGCCCTACGTTGTGTCTATCACTTGCTTTAAGCATAAAACAGGCAGCCAAGGTGTAAGTGCTTCTTGGTATAAAAACTTTCATTTTTTCTCAATCTTTATCAGTGCCCATTTGGGTTGTTTAGATAGTGACTTTTCTCTATTTTTTCTAGGTCCAGTTTCTAAGGGAAGTATCACTGGGCCAGACGGTCATCACAAAGAACCGCAATGGCCTCTATTATCGGTGCAAAGTAATTGGCACAACTACACAGACATTCTATGAAGTGAACTTTGATGATGGTTCCTACAGTGACAACTTGTACCCAGAGAGCATTATTGTGAGCAGCCTTGAGATGTTTTGGTGGGCTTGTGGGAGAGGAGGAGGGAAATGTTACCTCATCCCTTGATGAAAGAGACTGCCGTTAATAAGCCAAGAAACTTGCTGGTAGTTGGGAAAGTGAAGACTGGCGCCATGTGTCTCTTCCCATGTTGCCTTCAGGAGCATTGTGCTGTGACCTCTTCTTTACCTTGAGACATCCACATTTCTGCACCTTCAAACTATTCCTTTGTTTTACACAAAATTCAAGCATGACAATATTCAGTAATTACACAAGATATAAAAAAGGACCATTCTACAGACAGTAGCTGGCCAAGGGCAAGAACTCTTTTCACTGTGTCGAGCTTGCCACTCAAGTATCACAATTCCTGATTCTCTGACCTGTCAGGCTTGTGAGTTTGAGGGGATGATAGCATTCCCTTTTACTGATTAAATTAACTCCTCAATTTGTAACATATATATATATATATATATTTAATTCTTTCAGCAAATAAGCGTTTACTTAGTGCCTAATTTACAAAAATTCTTGGGCTAGGCATTGGGAGAGATAAAAAGATAAATACTGCTTACCTCAAATGAAGCTATTCTTTTTAGAAAATGGTAGTTTATCGTTATCACCAGAATCATTCTTGGCCACAGTTGTAAAAGTTGGGTAGCATTAAATCTTGGGCACAAATGGATAGCAGTAGGCAAAGACTTGTTTACGTGTGGCTTTCCACTTTAGGGATATGTTTGCATTGCCTTTTAAACTGTATTGTTCTGTCAACAGAGCAGAGATTGTATCCAACTGGGACCCCCTCCTGAAGGGGAGTTTGTTCAGCTCCGGTGGACTGATGGAAATATCTATAAAGCCAAGTTCATTTCAGCTGTGATCAGTCACATTTATCAGGTAAGAAGGAAGAAACTCCTGTGTCTATCACAGTCTTGTTTACCTCTCTCTAACACCTTGGTTGATTTGTGGGGGCGGGAGGGGATAGAGTAGACAGAGAAAGAGAGAGAAGACAGTCTGTTTCTGTGGTATTAAGAAAATTCATTGATAATGGAGGATAATGACTAAGGGATTGCTTTTCAGCTGTCAAGAATGAATCCTTCACTAAAATCCTCTTCCTTTGCCCCATCACAGCACGGAGCTGAACGCTGGGCTTTCCAAAGTGATGGCCACAGAACACACGCTCTGGCAGCTTCCACCCAGCTGACAAATCTTAGGTAGTGACAGTCAGTGTGTGTCTCATCTAAGGATTGGCTGAGTCCAGAAAAGCTCATCACCACAAAACTGGTCCCTGGATGATTTTTTTTCTTTTTTGACACCACTGCTCACCCACACTGCCTAGCAGGGTCTGGATGGTTTGTGATCTGCACTGGTGGTCAGGAGGGGCCTGCACCAGTAAAATCACCCAGCCTTGAGATACTGCAGTGAGGAGCAAAGAGTAGCCATCTTATTCTCTTTGCTCACCTTCTAGGTCTGCATTGCCCTGTATGTAGCACCTCTGTGGATTCACTGCAGCCTGAGGGTCCTCGGTGCTCTTAAAGGCAAAATGTACAGCCCTTTGAAATGAGTCTGAAAAGGAGGCTTGGGGGTGGAATGCTCCTGGGGTGCTGGCATCATATTGGTGCTCTGATGAAAAGCATATCTTGTGCTATGAAAGATCTAAATTCACGACAGGACGCAATGAGGAAAATCCTATTCCCTAACTGAGAAGCAAGCAGTTTCTTTGTTCTTTCTGATTAATGAGATCCTTGGGCAAATTCTTGTTCCTCCCTTAGGGCTGGGCCAGCCAGCCCTGACACGGATAGCTCTACTTCTTGATTCTTTTCTTTTTTGCCTGGGCTGAGTGCAAAGAACTTAGGAGCCACTGGAGACAGAAGCATCTATAGAATGGGATGGTCTGCTTATTCTAATATGATGATGATGATGCTCACATAGCGCTGTGCTGACGAAAAGGAGCTTGGGTAGGAACAACTCCAAATAGCACACTGTCCCATATAATTTGCATTTGGTTTGAATGTTCTGTGTAGTTATTCTAATAATGTATTTGCTATTGTAGTTATGTTTTTAGTTTGTTAATTTGTATTCTCCAAGCAAGGATTGTCAGGGTTGGCATCTCTTTGGGCATTTAAAATTTGTAGTAGGTGACAACTCGGAGAGTAGCACTGATTTTGTTAACATTTCACAATTTTAAAATTACCCAGTTTTATTTTGGTCATCAAATTGAGCATGTGGCCTTTAAAAAAAACCTCCAAGTAGGAGGACTTGGAGTCAGAGAACCTGGGTTCTAGTCTTTTTTCTCCCACGGGCAAGTCGCTGTACCTCATCTGTAAAGTGAAGTGGGTCTCACTCTCTAAGGACCTTTCTATTGAGGTTGTGTGTGATCATTTAGTTAGACTCCCAATTACCCTTCTTTCCTCTCTCCCATATTCAGGTGTGGTCAATGCCCTGTGACTACTGAAAGCTCTCCCCAGTTGTGTGCCAGAGTAGCTCTCTGTTATGCCTCCTCAGTTGATTATCTTCCTGTCTCTAAATCCCAGCAACCCCAGGTTGGTGGAGGACCTTGATTTCATGCCATTTGAGGCTCAGTTGAAGGGTCTGGGGGCATTTTATCTTGTTGAATGAGAAAACAGGGAGAAGCATAGTGACTTTGTTTAAATATTTGAAAGGCTGTCATGTGGAAGAGACTGGGTCTTCTTGGCCCCAGAGGTCAGAACCAGAAGTTGTGGAGAGGCCTATCAAGGCTCAGGATGAGGAGGAGCTCTCCCAAAGTGGGGTTAGCTGCCTCGAGTGGTAAGTGGATTATGCTTTATCTGGGGCACTATAGAAGGAATTCTTTGGGGATGAGCAGGGACTATGAGGATGACCACCGCATTTTGTTCTAACTCAGAAATTCCGTGTGTCTGTGAGTTAGGTTTTCTCTCTGGACATTTTCTAGTTTTTTAATATCCCTCCTAAAACATGTTACTCCAAAGTGAACCCGATATTTTATATGTGAGCTGACCAAGCCAAGGTACATGTTCTAGTTACTGGGGATACAAAGGCCAAAGTGAAAACAGGCCCTGCCCCCAAGAAGTTTACACTCTAGCCAAGGCAGATGACATATACATATACAAATATGTACAAAATTGATACCTGTCAATTTGGGTAATTCGGAAAAGGCATGGAGGACAGCCAAGGCAAAGGCAGAGAGAGGTGGGGTATGGAGTGCCACGTATGAGGAACCACAAGAAAGCTAGTTTGGCTGGACTACTATGTGTATGCACTTAGGCTAGAAAGGTAGGTTGGGATCAGGCGGTCAGGGCCTTAAATGCTAAACCAAGGGTATTTCTATTTGATCTTGGAGACAATAGGACCTACTGGGGTTTATTGCCCAGAAGTGTGACACGGTTAGATTTACCCCTTAGGAAAATAATGCTGGCAGCTATGTTAAAGTAGCACTGTAAATCCACACAGTTGGGGGAGTTGAGGAAGAAGCGTGGTGGAAGGCATCTGGGTGAATAGGTGCAATGCTGCAGCCTGTGCTGCAGGCTGGTCAGAAAGAGGACATCGATGAGAAGCTTAGGAAACCATTTACAAACCTGTTGCAGCAACATGATGCAGTGGTAACGGGTAATGCAAATGATCAGACATCTGACAGAGCTCTCTCTTTGCCAAATCAGAGCAGCCAGCAGTCTCTTTCTTTGAAAGATGGAAAAACCAACAAGGGAAAATAAAGCTCTTGTGGAGGAAGTGGCTGCTGTGGGAGGGCGCTGATGGCGACTCTGTGAGGAAGTGACCGCTACACCGTAGAACTTGACATAGATTAAGAGAGGAGAGTTGGGCGTAGCCTGAAGCGCGTCCTAGATTTTGGGGGAGCAGATCTCCAGGGGCTGAAAGAGAGGAGAGGAAAGATGCTGTGGCTTAAAGTTTTGTAGGGATTGTCCTTGTGAGGGGCGTGAGAGATTTGCTACAGTAAAACTGAGGACACAAAGAGAAGGCAGATGCATTTAATCAAAACCAAGCAAAACATCAACCGAGTCTGGCAATGTATGTAATGTTCCATGCCCATAGTCCCCCACCTCTGCAAAGATGGGAGAGGGCGGTGCATTTTCTTATCTTTTATTCAGAGCCAGCCTTGATCAGTATGTTTACACAGCTTCCAGTTTTGTTAAGAGAAAGAACTGCTACTCAGGGTGAATGGGATAATAAAGGATCATGGAGAAAAGTTAGAACTGCTCATCTCTTCTTTTGTTTCTCTTTTCTCTACCAAGGAAATAGTCTTTAGACTGGAAGGGACATGACAAATGACTCTGAGAAATCTGATAACCAACAGAATGGGCAACTAGTAAAAGTATCCAAGTTACTGTACTCAGTGATTATTATTCTCCAAGCCCAGGAGAACTATATACTTAGAAACACAAAAAAATCAACTGAAGTATAAGACTGTTGAGCCACTGTCAAAGGTCTTTGAAAGACTGGAGAATGGGAAGAGGTGTTGCAGAATTGGGTAAGGAGCAAATGCTGCCTCAGTTTCCCAAAAAGATAAGAGAATGAAACCTGCAAGTTACAGGCCTTGAATTTGAATCTTGGTAAGAGGTGGCTGACAAAGGTCTAGAAAAAGGAACAGTGATCACAAAATAATGGCTTCATTAAGAAGAGATCATGACAGCCAAACTTCCTATCTTTTTTCATAAGGTTAGCTGGTTGGTTGATCAGAGGAGTGTTATAGATACAGTTTATCTAAATTTAAGCAAAGCATTTGACAGTTTCTTATTCTATTCTTGTAAACAAAATGGGAAGATGTAAGCAACATATATGGTGGCTCTCATTAAATGGATTGAGAATTGAATGAATGATTAGATCCAGAAAGAGTAGTTATTAATGGTTCCATATTGACTCAGAAGGTCAGGTATCCTTGGTTTAGCCTTTAATGCCTTCGTAGGGTGATTCCACCCTACCTTTCCAGTCTTACTGTGTGCACACAGTAGTCCAGCCAAACTAGCTTTCTTTCTAGCCTCTCACGTGCCGCCTCTGCCTGCCTCTGCCCTGGCTGTTCTCCATTCCTGGTCCGAACTTGCACATGAAGCATTTTCCAAGTCGCTGAATCACCAGGTATCTATTTTGTATTTGTATATGTAAATATACATATATTTGTATATGTAAATGTTGTCTCCCCTGGCCTAGACTGTAAACTTCTTGGGGCCAGGGACTGTTTTCACTTTGGCCTTTGTAACCCCAACTCCTAGAAGAGTGCCTGACACATAGTAGGCTCTTAATAAAATGTTTGTTGATTCCTATCTTTTTTTTTTTTTTTTTTTTTGCTACCCTATCTTCCCTTTTGCCTGTGCTGTTATTTTAAATAAGATTATACCTTTCCAGGGTCATATTCTAGTAATGAGTCTCATCTCACCAAATCTCAGCGATACCTGTGAGATCTCTAGTTTATCAAGCTTATTATTCATACTTAATGTATTTATATGGAGATATCTGAAGCTTTGGATTTTATACCAGTTCCTATGAATTTCTAGATGTCATTACTATTCTTCCTATATTGAAGGTACTTTTTTTTTGGTACGTAGTTTGGGTGCACGTACTTAGGAAATTTTTTTATTCCCCTTCCTGGTAGAACTCAGAGTCAAGTCCTTACCATTGGATTGGAGTGGGACTTCTAATTTCTCTCTCTCTCTCTCTCTCTCTCACCCTCTCACCCTGTCACCCACACCCCCCCCACACCCTTACCTTTAATCAAAACTCCCATTGCCTCAATGTCAGCAATCCGCCAGATGTTAAGAGGAAAGCAGTCAGATTAAACCAATTCACAGGCACTAAAGTGTGAATGGCTGATGGGTTTAGTGGGCCCAAGATCTATTTGCATTTTAAAAGAAGATCTTGTTAAGCAACTGAATTTCTAGTTGGTGTTA